TTCTCTATTATACATGCAAACTTGAACATTCCAAGGTATTACCCTAACTAGAATACAAAACTTTGATACTTGGGTAATAAAACAAGTTAGAGGACATACGTTTTGTTGTAGTTGGAAGCCTTGGACCTTTAAGAACTTAGTGCCCCAAGTGTTCCACCTCAAATGGAATCAGACAACACCACCAACAATTGGAATAACTTGAGAGAAGAATATATTGCACCAAAATCGGCTAGCCCTCTTGTGTTTCCACACGTGCCAATTTCATGAGCCTTGGGGTGTCTTATATAGTGTGCACATTAGGGTTACACCATGTAACTCATGACTTTCCACATTCTTCATGATCCATGGGTTTTAACCTACATGGAGTATCCATGGGTCACCACATGGGTTTAGCCCAACATGAAGAACTATGGATCATAAGCCCACTTTATAAGAATGAATGATTTACCAAATCAATCCCCATTTATTTAATTAGTCTCTTTTGATCAAAAAATTAATTCCGAACTAATTATTGATCAATACTAATTAAATAATATGATTTCATATTAATATATTAGAACATATAATATATTAATAAATCATAAATATCCTCTTCTCACAAAAGTCTATCCGAATTGTTCCGATGTCATGCAACCCAAATGGACCATGCTACTCTCGGGTCAAGTACATACCAATAATATTTATGGGCTTAGACACCTAATCCAACACAATTGTCCTCCCACAGTCCTATGGGCATATGATTTCCCTCTCACGGAAAACTCATCTTCTTGCAACGAAGACCACATTATCACTAGGTCTGTAGAAGAGATATCCAAAGGATTTCTATGGGTAACCGATGAAAATACACCATTCACTACGAGGTTCAAGCTTGTCATGAGTCTCTCGTATTACGAAAGCTTCACAACCCCAAACCTTGATATGTGCCAACGAGGGAACTTTCCCTGTCCACATCTCGTGAGGTGTTTTGGCAACCTTCTTAGTTGGGACTAGATTATGGATATGGGCAGCGGTCTCTAAGTCGTACCCCTAGAATGAGATTGGTAGCGAAGCTCGACTCATAATGGAACTAACCATGTCCAGCAAGGTTCAATTGTGCCTCTCAGCCACACCATTAAGTTGTGGTGTCCTAGGTTGCGTCAATTGTGAAACAATTCCACATTCCTTATGATAGTCGTGGAACTCGATACTAAGATACTCACCACCTCTATCAGATCTGAGCATCTTTATCTTCCTGTCCAATTGATTCTCCACTTCTTGCTTAAAGGTTTCTGACTTGTGCTTGATCAGTTAGATATATCCATATCTGCTATAATCATCAGTAAAAGTCATATAGAAGCGGTTGCATCCCTTGTGGTGGATCTGAAGGGCCCACACACATCTGTATGTATGAGATCCAAAAATCCCTCACCTTTTTCACAAGTTCCAGTGAAAGGTGAATTAGTCATCTTTCCAAGTAAACAAGATTCGCACGTGTCATCTGACTTTAGGTCAAACGACTCCAACACTCCATCATTTTGAAGTTAGGCTATGCGCTTCTTGTTGATAGTTCCAAGAAGACAATGCCACAAGCATGCCTTGTCTATACCATTAGACGAATCGATATGCAACACATTATTTCCTAAGTTATCAAGAACCATCACGTTTTCATATACACCATTACAAGGCATTGTTTCAAAATAAAATAAACCATTATAATAAGCATTTATAGAACCAATTTCATTATTAAATGAAAATTTAAAGCCTTGTCTGTACAAACCATGAGAGGAAATAATATTCATCGTTATCTCTGACAAGTAGCAACATTCATTCAAATCTAACCCTAACCCACTATTAAGCACTAAAGAGTAAACTCCGATCTTGGTAACAGGAGACGACTTCCTATTGCCCATAATCAAGTTTGCCTTCCCATGCTCCACATCCCTACTTCTTTTTAGCCCCTGTAAATCAGAACAAATGTGAAAACCACATCCTGTATCAAGGACCCAAGATCTAGCATGTGATGAGTTATTAGATATAATAGTATAAATACCTGCGAAGGAGGACTTTGTCTTCCCATCCTTGATGTCAGCAAGTATTTCGGGCAGCTTCTCTTCCAATGCCCCTTATCATGGCAGTAGAAACACGTTGCTTCTTTAGGATCGGAGGTGGGAGTGGCAGAACCGGTTTTTGCTTTGGATCCACTAGAAGAAGATCCATCATGGGACTTTCCCTTCCAGTTCTTCGAGGGAGCTTTCCTCTTCTTCCCTTTACCTTGTCCAATTGCCAGGACAGAAGCAGCAGCAAGAGTGGGAGTGGATTCAACACTTTTCCCCTTTAATCCACTTTCAGCAGTTCTTAGCAGGCCCTGAAGCTTGCTCAATGTGACTTCCTCATTGCTCATATGAAAGTCATCTTAAACTGATCATATCAAGGAGGTAGAGAGTGTAGGACTATGTCAATAGCCAACTCTTCGTCGAAGTTCACATTCAACTTCAAAAGACGATCCACATATCTTTGCATTCTTTGCAAGTGGCTCGTGATGGACTCTCCATTCCTCATTTTGGTGGGGGAAGAACGGGTGACTATCTCGTACCTTCTTGACTGCTCTTTGATGGTACTTTTCCATCAAGTCCTTGACATCTCGTAGGGCCAGTAGTCCTCTAGAACAACTGCAAGCTCAGGAGTCATGGATGGCTACCATAATACAGGACACCTTAGTAGCATCCTTGTAGTGAACCCCATACTCAACTATTTCTTCGGGAGTAGCTTTTGATTCATCGATCTCGTTCAATAGTTTATAGAGGACACATTCTTTGTCCTCGTAGCGCAAGGCCATACGAATGTTCCGGATCCAATCATTGAAGTTGGAACCATCAAACATAATCCTCGCACAAATGTTTAGAAGAGAGAAGGAGTTGTTTGAGTTGTTGTTGGAGGTTGAGCTAAAAACGTTGTTTGGTCCAGGCATCTGAAAAAGAAGAAAGACAAAGTTTTGATAAGATAAGGAATCCTTAATATAACGCCCAAATGAAATATTAAGGTTAGGACCCAACACAATAATTCACAATTCGGAAGAGGGATGTCGTAATCCAATTGTAAATTATTTAAAGGTAGGTAAAATGGCGATTTACCAATTCCACCACGAAAAATGAAATAAAGAATTAGGTTCTAAATGAAATGAAATTCCTAGATTCTTTTGAGATTCATTGAACTTTTCAATGGCATGTTTAATCTTGATTATGCCCTTCAAGTTTGTGATTGGGATATCGAGGATCACAAACAAAGTGTGAATAACCATGCAAATTAGCTTGGTACTCTCGTTGTCATTTACCACCTAATCAATGTGCCGGTTAACCACACACGCTCCATTGATCAATGATAATTTACGAGCTACCCATTTCCATCCTTGTTAGTCCAAGTTAGTGTGTCGGTTAACCACACACGCTCCACTAACGACTTGACAAGGTGTAATGTGCAATATCATGGATTAGCATCAAATTCACATTTTCCTGAAGTAACTAAGATTGGGAATTTATAAATATATTTAGTTACTTTATATTTTTTAATATACTTATTAATGAAAGAATTAATGTCCTATACTACCCGCTTGGCTAACGACCCTCCACCAATCAAGGAAGCGGTGGGTAAGAGTGGACACTCATTCAACCGCCATTATATAGGCAGTTTCCTTTATACCCCCCTTATAGATTGACTTTATGAATGAGGCCTACTAACGGTAAGACTGACTCATCTTATACGTATATATAAGTATTAATGTTTTATTATTATAATAGTATAAGGGTTGTATTTAAACTTTTAAAATACTAGGGTTTTAGAATTTTAATATTTCAAAATTAAACCTTTAAATTAAATTTAAATTCCAAAACTTGAAGGTGCAATTTGAAACTTTCTCAAAATTATTCAAATCAAATTTTAAATAATTGATTAATCATATAATTAGCCATTATCTTAAAATTTGACCAAATCAATCTATTTGGATAAGAAAATCAGATTACCGTTTAACAAAATCAATTTGTAGTGATAAAAACGGTTTATGGTAATTATCGTAATCCAAAATAGATCAAAAATTCGAAAAATCTACTAACAGACAAGTTCACTCGTCGAGTCATGGCACTAACTCGTCGAGTTCATCCAACTTGTCGAGTTCATTAGGCAGAAGGCGATTCTCCTTTGGTTTTCGATTTGGACAGTTCACTATTGCATCAAATCTAATAGAAAAACATCCTAGGCTCTGATACGACTGATGGGTTTTGAGCATAACAACATTCCTAGGTGTTCATGCAACCCTAATTGCTTTGGATCAAAGTTTTTTCTAGTTATAAGAAAAAGACCCTTTTACGACGCGCAAACCACGACACTCATTGATTTATGTTACGCAAAAGAGAGTGACATTAAAAAAGTGTCATCTCTTCAAAAAATTTAAGGAATTAGGTCACGCATTATTGCGTGCCCTTAAATTAGTGTCTTGTGTAAAAAAATTAAAAACACGGAGGGCACTTTATCTGAAATGTGCGTCCTCTTGTGAATGTCGTTTTATATTTTCTTTTAAGTAACGCGCGTCTCCTTAGAGAAAATGAAATCCCCAAATTTTTTAAACTCCCGCCTTCCAAATCGATCCTCACACTAAATGATTCGACGACTGCAACTACTTTCAATTGTAGCCGATCGACAACTACGACTCATCAACCGTCAATCGAAGCTACCAGTTGAAGAACCCTAATCGACACCTCCACCTTCTCGTCTCTCCTTCTCCACCAGGTTTCTTTTACGCCTGGAAATTTTGTAACTTATATTTTCCTTTATCGTTTTCTTTTACTTTTTCTGTAATTATCTCACATGATAAAACCCCCCACCTGGTTCCAAACCCTTCTTCTCTCTCCAACGACGGACATCACCGGCGACACACCTACGGCCAGTCACCACCGGAGCTTTGTTTGCATCGGAAAATATATCTACTATTACAAAAGTCTTTCAATCGTGGATCTTAGTCTGAAGAATAAATGGATACAATGGATGCACCCGTTCCGGAAGTTCGAACCGAAGGCGAACCTGCTGTAGCGGAGGAATTAGGGCAAAATGTTGATCAGGTCATCATGAAGGTTGATGAGGTACGCTTTTTGTTGCTGAATCTTCCGATTGTATAATTTTCCCAGTTTATATACACTCCATCTTCTTAGGTTACATAAGAATGACGTATGGTTGATAATTGATGACGATCAGTTCCTCTTCCAATTGTTTCGGAGACCTTGTTTTAAAACAATTATAAATTAGAGAGGGCAGTGCAAGATGATGAAGGGCCTTCAAAGGCGCTTTGTTTATTACAGAGTGGTAGTAGAGGCGATGGTGCTGCTGATAGCCCTAACCAATAGTCATCTTCAAAGGTAAAACTTCATCTTCCGTTATTTTCTGCTTCACATGTCTAGTAAACATTTTAACCTCACATGGTGACAAGTCTTGAGTTCAAGGTAGAAGTTGTATGGAAGGAAAACTGAAGTATATGAGGGAAAGCTTCAGTTGCCTGACTTTCTTTATTAAGTAAAAAAGGAACAAGTCTGTAAGTCTGTAAGCTCTGTGTTGTGAATTGATTTTGTGCAGATTGTCTTGAGGTTGTAATGAGTTTTTTTAATCTTACCGCACATAAGATGTAAAATTAGAGAATTAGCTTGGTTTCAAGACTAAACTCTTAGTTGAAAATATTAATCTATATGTATGTCACAAGCTTCATGTTTATATAAGAAGTTATATATCCCATTGATATTATTTGGTAATTGTTGTAGATTATATCAGAGAACAGAGAAAGGAGTCCAAATAACCAGCTCCATGTGATATATATCAAGAGAGAAAAGCTCCAAGTATCAATATCAATGTTTGAAACTGATTTTGTTCTTTATCGGTGCCCTAGTATGGAAAAAGTTGAAATGGGTAGTTATATGGGAATTCCTGATTCCAAAGGTGTGTATATAACTTATATTGCAGATGTAGTGTATATTTGGGTGGGGCGAACAAGTGGGGAAGATGATGATAACCAGTGGCAGATTGTTGGTGATGACTTCATTGTTAGAAAAGGTCTGGCAACAAGCTCTATTGTTCAGGTAATGTGTTAATTTGAAAAAACTTCTAGAAACTAGTTTGCTTGTATCTTCAAGTCCCTATTGCTTATAATATTTTTGTATATGAATGATTATGATGAACACATAGTGAGAGAAGGTGAAGAACCAGAGCAACTATGGAAGCATCTTCACTGTTTCTCATTCCAGAACACAGGAGAGAAACATTAGAAGCATCCGAGGCAGTTTCTGCTTTGTGATGCAGTGATGTATGAGAATGAAAATGTTGGTTTAATTTTTTCCCATTACGTGGGTGTGAATTTATGTACAGTTTCTAGTAAAAAAAAGAGAAAAGAAACTGGAATCATGATTGATAACCAAATGCCACTCATGTAATCTATACTTTTGATTTTATGACAAGGTGTTGGATCATTCGTTTGTTTATCATAGCATTTTACATTTAATCCCTTTTTCTAAACTACAAATTACAAAACTTAATAACTTCTGTTTTGCTTGATATCGATTGTGGGCATGCTCAATGACTGAATCATGTTTACATTGTTTCCCTTCTACGTGATACTCACATAGAATGGAATACCTACTGATGTTTGGATATCCTGTTTTTAAAATGGAACACGATACATGTTTTGTTTGGTGTGTTCCTTCCTCACTCAGTTTAACATGCAAGAAGGTTTGGAAGGTAACCCTGCTGCTGCCACAATGAAAAATGTTTCAAGGGGTTTTGCTGCTCTCACAGTCCCCCTCACTGCAAGTTTCCCAAAGGCTAGTTCACTACTATTTCTCTTTCTTAATTACTAAACTACCCCTCTCTCAAATTCAAATACCATTTTCACTTTCATGCAGGCCCTCTTCTGTTATTGGATCACCTCCAATAACATATCAGAAGCAGCAAAGGTGCCTTTAGCTTCTATTCATTTAGAGGGCAGGGCCCTTCAATGACATCAAGGGTAGTTCTCAAAGTGAAGGAGTAAAAACCATGAAAGCCTAGAGCCATATATCAGATATGCTAATACTTCAAACATCAAACTAGGACTAGGACCATAGGGGTAAAATCGTCCAACTCCCAAAAAAGAGAGAAATACCTAGAAAAAAAATAAAAAAGATCAACTTCAATTTTTTATTTATTAACAGGAGTATAGTGAACTTATGAATGAGTTCATGACAGCTTTGAAGCAAAATTATAGGGAAAAATTTCTCATTCAGTTTGAAGATTTTGCTAACCACAATGCATTTGATCTTCTTGCAATTCACCCATCTTGTTTTCAATGACGATATACAGGTACAAAAAATAGAGATTAAATATTTGAACCTTTTTTAAAGATTTTTATTTTAAATATTTTTTTATTTGTTTTTTCAGGGGACAACATCAGTGGTACTTGCAGGGCTTATTTCTGCTCTAAAATTAGTTGGTGGAACATTGGCAGACCATAGATTTCTATTCCTTGGAGTTGGAGAGGTTCACAATTTATATTCCACCTATTTAATTTGTATCGTTTTATTATTATTATTATTATTATTTTTCTGAATTATAAGCTTTTGTTTATGTTAATGCAGGCTGGCACAGGAATTGCTGAACTTATAGCTCTGGAGATATCAAAGCAGGTTAGAATGACACATTTTTAACAAAATATTACTAAAGTAACTATTTAACTTTTCTTAATGAATCGGTTTAGGAGGTTGTAAACATTCGAGTATGTTTTTAAGCTATTCGAACGATTATTGCTATTTTTGTGTTATAACACCCTACTTCCATTTCTTTTTTTCATAACATTGTACTTTGAAAAATCTACCAAATAATAGCATTGTAGTTTCAATCTTATTTTTCATATTATAGCAGTGACATTTGATTTGTATTTGGAAGACATTGCTTGCTATAGGCCTATAGTTAGGTAAAATTAATGCTGTAACAGGAAGAATTGAAAGTAGGTTGCTACAATAAACAATTCAATACACACTTTCTTATTAACAATTCAATGTCTTTGACTCGTTGCTAGATCTAGATGATTTAGCATTTAGCAAATACAGTTTTTGACTATAATACCCTTTTTCATTTTCATATTTGCAATTGCAGTCGAATCTTGAAAGTCTGGCCACCTGGGAAGAGAAGCAAATGTTCAAACAGTAAGTTTTTTTGCACTGATTATTTATGCAATTCTTGTAAATCCAAATTTTTTTTTACCTTTTTTTTATCAAACTTCTCTGACCTAAATACCCCTACAGGTTCATGGAAGACCATAACACCGCCACCTTTGGATTTTGCATTCAGTAGTGGCTGGAAAGATGAATCTGTAAGTCCTAAAAGTAGCTGTTGTTAAACGATGGATTGAAATGGCATCCTCTAAAGAAATTGCAGAAGCCAGAGATGTACCTAGTCTCGTGGGGACCGCATTGAGTATGGCAGTTGCTTTAAAGAAAGACCATGAAGCTAGTAAGTTTATCTTTATTCAGTTTGTTATATCATAATCCGTATGCATCATTTAAAAACATACAACAAGAAATTTTTTAATTTTTTTTTTCCACATTTCATTCAAGCATAAGCTTTTACTGGGTTATCTTTTAGATTAATATGCAAGTATGTAACCGTTTTCATGTTGAGGATAATTTGGTCATTTCATCTCTTAAGATTAGCTTACATGGTAAAAACCATTTTTAGGTTTACCAGGAGTGGGGTTCATGCCGCATATCCTTGATGTTAAAGCTGGAGAGGTGCAATCATGATCCTTTTATGTTTCTGAAAAGGTTTATCCATAATTTTTTATTTACCAAAATTCATAATTTTTTATATAAATGCAGGATGTGTTGGGAAAATTAATGTGGTTTTCTCAGAATAGCACTCGAGCTGTGTGCATTCTATAAGCTAATGGAGCCATATCTAATGTTACAATTCAGCAGTCTGCAACATCTGGTGGAACTATCACATATGAGGGTTTTTTTTTTTTTTTTTCTAAACATTCAATATTATTATTATTTTTTTGATGTATAAATTATAAAAATTATTTATTTATAGTTTGTTAATAAAAATACAGGGAAGATTTGAGATCTTATATCTTTGTGGTTCATTTATGGTTTGTGAGAGTGATGGGCAAAGAAGCAGGACTGGTGGTTTAAGCGTGTCACTTTCAGGTCCAGATGGTCGTGTTTTAGGTGGTAATGTGGCTGGCCTTCTAACTGCTGCATCACCCGTTCAGGTTTTTTTTTTTTTTTTTTTTTTAATATTTCCATAAATACCCTTGGATGGAATGGAATGGAATCAACCATTCCATTCCTGATTCCTGATTCCTGATTCCTGATTCCAAACCCTAAGAAACTTATTGTTTTCATGGTCAATTTTTGCAGATGATTGTTGGTAGCATTGTTCCTGCAAGTTAGAAACAAAGAAAAACAGAGGCAGATTGAGCTAGTTGAAGTAAGTTTATTTGTTTATTTATTTATTCCTCCATCAATTTCCTCAAGCGTGTTGACATTTTATGTACAGAAAAGCATGATTGAGTTGAATTGGTTGGGTCATTAACTGCTGTTATGTTTGAACAAATTAATCCTTATGCTGGAGTTGATGTGAACATAAGGAACGTGCAAAACACCATTCCTTTACATGTGGCAGTGGCAAGAGGATCAAAATCATGTGTTGGAATGCTTCTTTCTGCAGGAGGTCTGGAGTGGATCATTGTTATGCTTAAATATCCAGGGGCTGTGTAGAAGTCAGGAATCACATTAGTTAATAATACTAGTTGATGTATGTTGTTCAATGGTTTAAATAAATCTAATGTTATGCTTATCTATTGCTTGTTGTATTTATGCATTGATTTGCACTTTGCAGTCATGAATCTTATTCTTGCTGAACTCAAGTTTGTGACATTCAATCATGTACATTATCACGCTCAATCTTATCTCATCTGGGTTCATACAGGTAAGCTTTTAATTAATCTGTCTACATTTGTAGATTTCTATTTCTATTTTTTGTTTCATTTTACTCACCTAATTTATACCTTATAGCATCACCTCATGTACACAAGACCAAGTGATACGGTACCTGATCACACCTGGCACTCGAATCCATACAAGGCAAGCTTGTATGGATTTTTTTATCATAATTTGCTAGACTAAATGCAGTTATTTGTTTTTTCTGATTTTGGTTATTTGTACCCACGTTATTGATTGTTTCTAACAATTACATGATTGTTAATACTTATGTAGTCATCTTCCAGAGCCATATAGTTTCATCTTCACGTGGTATGCTGCTCTACCGTTCATATTATGGTCATCTTTTTCACTTACTAAAGTCGCTTGATGCCAATCTTTTTAAAAAGCATCTCACATTAGGCAGACTCACTGAAGGTAAGTTGACATTCTTTATAAATCAAAGTTTTCTCTTATTTTAATGCACAATTAGATTTCAAGAAACAAGTGAACATGTGGTATCATCTATAGATTTGAATATTTTTCCAATTTATTAAAATTATAAATCCTATAATTAGATCCCTCAAAGCTATTGGTCAAATGTTAGCTCCCTCAAAGTTGAGGAACCTGTTTTGCATAATTTGATAAAAATTATAATTTGAAAGATTAAAATTATCGAATATAGGAGGAAATTACTAAGTTATATCACCAATAATGAACTTAATATGTAGTTAAGTACAGATACTTGTCAAGTTTTAACAGTGTGTTTGAATGATGAAGGATATGAAATGAAATGAATAATTAGATTTCTTGAACCTCATTATTCTGGAAAGAAAGAATCATTCTTGAAACTTCATAGTAAGAAAAAAGCCAACATGGGATGCTTGAAGCCTAGTGATTGTTAATTATATATTCCTTAAATTGTTAATCAATTTTTTATACAAGTATGAGCTGTATTGAAGCTTGGATTCTTGGAAAAATGTATGTTACTACATGTGTATTAAATTTTAATATTTTATAACATAGATTGATGATGCTTGAAGCCTTTCTAATTACTAATCTGTTGATGATGAAAACAGGTATCATGTGGAAACAGAAGCATAACAATAAGAAGTAGAAACAAGAAGGTGTTCCTTAATAGCAATGTAGTATTAGGTTATATAGTTAGGGAAAACCTTTTAATAACAATGTACAATCGGATCCCCTTAATACTAATGTATTACAATTTTTTGACATGATGTTATGGATGAAATTCATTGTTTTGGTATATATTTGTTTCCATATTTTTGTATTATGCATAAATGAGTATCGTAAAGACGCGTCGTAAATGTATATCGTAAATGGTTGCTGAAGTTTATGACACGCAAATGTGTGTCATCTTCATTTATGACAGGGGCTTTAATGATACGCAATGCGTGTCCTAAACGTGCGTCGTAAGGTTACGACACACAAATATGTGTCGTCTTCCTTTATGACAGGGGCTTCTTTGATACGCATTGAGCGTCGTAAATGCGTGTCGTAAATGTGTGTCATAAATGTGCGTCGTAAATGCGCGTCGTCTATAGACGACGCGCAAAAGCGTGTCGTCTCTCGTTATGACAGGGCCTTCCTTGACACGCATTTGCGCGTCGTCTGAGCGTTTTACGATATGCATTGCGCGTCGTAAAAGGCTGTTTTTCTAGTAGTGGTTATACATGCAAATAGAAGTTCCAAAGAAATAACCCTAATACTAGCATACAATTTCAGAAATTCAATATGAAACTAGGGTTTGATGAATACCTTTCTTGTTATCTCGTAATAACAAGTAGAGGTGTTTGTTTGGATGGATCGGTTCGATCCGATCCAATTAAGTAAATCCAAATTAATTTCGGTTTCAAAATATGGATCCAAATAGTCCAAACTAAATTCAAATCCGATCCGATCCAATTACAATTCTGTTGGATCGGTTTTTATAATCCGGTTTTCAAAAACCATAACATTTTAAAAGGACATAGAATTATAATATGATCTAATTTTACAGAAGAAGCAAAAACAAATTATTTACTTGGGATTTAAAATTTATAAACCATTAAGAAGGCATATTATACTTTATTATTTAATAGATAAAAAACTTTTGAGGGAAAATACATATTAATGTCTTTTATTAGGTAAAACTTTTTGAACTTATTTAAAAAAAATTATAAAATTAATAAATAATTATAGATATATTGAAAATAAATACATAACAAATTGTTATTCGGTTTTTTTGGACTATTCAGTTCTTATTTTATAAACCAAAACCAATCCGAAATCCAAAATAATAATTCGGTTTTGTTGAAAACCAATCCAAAAATCCGAATATCCGAACCAAATAGTCCAATCCAAATTGTCCAATTGGACAATTCAGTTTTATCCAAATAGTGAACGGCCCTAATAACAAGTAATCCAATGATGATCTCGACTCTTGGAAGCTTGAGTGCCTCACATGTTGCAACTCTAATGGAATCACAAACACCAAAAGCAAATGATGAGTAAGAGAGAACATAATTTTGGCTAGGGTTACACCTTGTGAAGCAGTGGCTGAAATTGAGAGGTCTAGGGGTCTTTAAATACTTGTGGCTGCTAGGGTTTCCAGGGAAAACCCTAATTCCTTACTTAGGCTCCAAGCATCCCATGGACTTCCCTTCTGGAAGGCCTTGGACGATTTCTATAGGGCCTCCTATAGATTTCGTCCAACCATTACAAGGAAGTCCAGCAGCCCGGTTTGCAACTATCAATGATTTGCAAACTAGTCCCCTTACTTTTAATCAGTTTCTTTAATCTCAAAATTAATACCAAATTAATTTATGATTAAATACTAATTAAATAACATGATTTCTAATTAATATATTAATAAATCATTAAATAACCTCTCTCTCCAAGGTCATACTGTCAAGTTGTTATGGTTAAGGTAACCCAAAAGGACCATGGTACTATCAGATCAAGTACATACAATTTATAGTTATGGGTCTAGACACCTAATCCAACAGTAGCCACTAGGCTAGGAGCCATTTCTTACTTATAGACTAAAACATTTAACACAACTTTTTTATGTCCTTCCGGTATAAAGCTTATTTTTATTTAATGTTATCCTTAATATGCAGACTAAGACATTTTATTAAACATTTTGGGTGGAGTTTTCAAATCCAAAATTAAGGATGGTAAGGATAGGCCAATTATCTTAAATTTGGAGTTCATAAGGGATTATTTACCAAAAATCATTACAAGAATGCATAAGTAATACAAACATGTAAGATAACCGTAACACCAACAACCCAACACTTTATGGTATCACTCAAGGATTAAGCTACTCGCTGCTCTTATATATATATATATATTATATATATATATATATATATATATATATATATATATATATATATATATATATATATATATAATATATATATATATATATATATATATATATATATATATTATATACACTACGTGTACACCCGCCCAAAGTGGCGCAGACAATTATTACGTTTTCGACGAATGTTTTTTTTTTTCCGAAAATGTTATTTGACTGTTTCAGTGACTACAAATTTTCTAGCTGATATGTTAGAAAATTTTCATATTTATCCTTTGGACAAACATCATGCTTACATGAAAAAAGAAACAAAATTTAACTGATGTTTTTCCTTAAATATTTTCATTGATTATACTTATCATAATTAGTTTTTGTTCATCAAAAAATGACTGGCTTGTGCATAAAAGATTTGTACATTAAGTTATCAAACATGTATCTCTTATATATATATATATATATATATATATATATATATATATATAGATATATATATATATATATATATATATATATATATATCTATATTCGGAAATGACAAATGATTAAACGGAAGCCTACTCGCATATTTCAACGAGCACCCCGGTTTCGAGCTCCTTTACAGGGCAAACCCAGCCCCCATAGGGGTTTCCAGGGAAAATTTCCCCCACATGTGGCACAAGTTTAAGAGGCACCCAAATTGGGTTTTTGCAGGGATTGAACTCCCGACCTCTGACCCCACGTGTTAATACCCGGTACCTCTTCCCAGCTAGGCTGGAAGTCATTGGTCGCTTTATAATATATAATATATATATATATATATATATATATATATATATATAATGCTAATGGGAAATTTCAAGTTGCTATTGAACATATGGACTAGTGTGTCGTTAATATGAAATAGGATATCATAGGCATTCCTTGCAATCATGCTTTAATTGTATTATGTGGTATTAATGTAATGTTGAAGAAGTGGGACAACTAGAGGATTTGATTAGTATATGTTGCAAGATGGAAACATGGAAGAGGATGTATAGCTTCAAAATTGAACCAATTAATGGTACAGACATGTGGTCTAAACTCATTGTCCAATAACATTGACTGCTCCAAATCATCATAAACTTGTATGCCCTTTTTTTTACTTGTAGGTTGGCATTTGGTT